CACAAGCTGTTCCATTAATATTAGCTGGACGTGATGTAATTGGAATTGGTAAAACTGGTAGCGGTAAAACTGCCGCTTTCTTATGGCCACTTATTATTCATATTATGGATCAAGTAAGTGTAAAATCAATTTTAGATCATTTCTCTCTTTCTTTTATTTTATTAATTAACTTCAACAATAAATAAGCAATATCTTTTCGTAAAATACGGTCTCCCTAAACAGAATGTCCTATACTAAATATAATGATAATGCAGAAGAAGTTCAATCTGTAGAATACAATAAGAATAGTCTTTTTTAATGTAGAAATTTTATCTTATTTCTATGAAAAGTGTAATTGAATTGAATTGAATATACATATTCGCAAACTGACGCATTCCATTTACAACTGATTGATCATTGTGTAATGACCAATGTTATACATGTTGATTTTTTAGTGTCAATCGAATTCTATTGATCAAGTGACCAATCAACTGTAAATACATCTCACTCTTACGAGAGGTCAGTCAAGGCCTAAATAGCTCCATCGCATCGTCTCTGACTATGCAGTTGGTTGACATGGGATCGAATCCACCAAGGAGCATCGGTTTCTGTATCGACGAATGTCAGATAGTACGAAACCTAAGTCCAGAGTTTCTTATCGACTGCCACCAACTACCACTTTACATCTGACACATTAAATTCCATACATTCATTTACAGTGTGAAGGTTTATCTGGCTCTAAGTTTATTAAAAAATGCAATTACTTTATACCCTTCTTTCTACGAACTAATTCCTTATATGAAATTTTTTTTACTACCATTGAAGTAACTACTTTATAAATTTGGTGTTGATGTTGTTGTGCTAATGAAGTATGGCAACGTGCACGGATGGATATATGTGCCTATTCCTATGTTGTAGCTGACTGACTTGAGTATGAACCGCACTGTGTGAGAGAGCTAATGTTTACTATCCGATTGCCCAAAGTGAAGTAGGCGACACAATATTCCAACTCTGGATGTATACACAAACTATTTAATAAGTAGGATACGCCCCTAATTTGTTTGTCATTTTTGAATCAATGAGATCGTGTACACCATTCACTAATTATTCTTTTCTTAACATATTAACCGACTACATTTTCATGTACTGGAATGCTGATATCGAAGTACATAGGTGAGTCAGGGGCTGATGGTCTATATCTTTAACCGATAAGCTATCGTTATAAAATTGAAATTCAATAGCCAAATAAAAGATCATTCACTAGGCTCTGAATTGCATAATTTACGTAACGGTCTTAATATTACTCCTGGATATTCAAAACACTATAGATTGAACTGGGTTTGGACTGAGAATCTAGTGAATGAATGTTGAACACTCTATTGTCTTAATTTTGTTGCAACACAAACCGTTTTCTGTCTTTTTCCAAAGTCGCACACGCACGACATAAACTCAGTGAATAAGATATTCCTGAGTTCTAAGCACACAATTGTATTTAAACATTTCCAAGAACACTCTGGAGCATTTACCCCCATAATGGTTGTATGTGTTTTTCTTCAGGCATAGACCATTGTTACTTAAAGATAATTTAACGCGTTAAACTTTCATTTGTGTTGATGTCTAGAAGATCCAAATATTATCATATGCATGTTTGTTGGATTACTGATCCCAATTCATACTACATTGTTCTTTCACAAGAACATTTATCAGGCATCAAACTAAACCTATCACGTAACAAATAGCATTACTACTTAGCTTTTTAGAACTTTTCAAACATAGTGTCAATCGATCTGTAGCTCCACCTGATCAAAAGTTGGGTGCCTTGACAAATAACTCACTTTTATAAATTGCACATTAATGTCACATGCTTAAATATATGATTGGCCAAGAATCTCTCCTAGAATTTCTTGCGTTTTATTTGGTGCCCATATTGTTGGTTGACAAGACGCACATCCTGGATTCTACTGCTAGCCACCACCCACCTCCTTACACCTGAGACAATCCACACAGGATGCCAATATGCTAAAAGAAACTGGTCAGTTACAGTTTGAAACATCAATGGGAAGATTCAGACAGCCAATACAAATGTTACTAAACTTTATTGATTCATTCTTTTGTGTCCTTTAGCTACTGTTTGAAATTTCGTAGAACTGATTTACTTACTGGTAAAGTTTTACAAGTCAAACATCTTACTTGATTCAACTTTCACCAATTTAAGACGAGTTTAGAAATTCATCTGTAGGTAATTAAATCCTACAGTGAGTGTCAAGTATAATTTTCCAATTTTTTGATATATATTAGGTCAATTTTGTTTACTTTACATTAGTTTTGATAAATAAATATCCATATATAAATATATTTATGTATGTTTGTATAAATATAGCCGGAATTAAAACTGGGTGATGGTCCTATCGGTGTGATATGTGCACCGACAAGAGAATTAGCATTACAAATCTATAGTGAAGCTAAAAAGTTAGCCAAAGTATACAATTTAACCGTTGTCTGTGCCTATGGTGGTGGAAGTTTGTGGGAACAACAAAAAGCTTGTGAAGCTGGATGTGAAATTCTAGTTTGCACACCGGTGAGTTATTATATATATATATATATATATATATATATATATATATATATATATATATATATATATATATATATATATATGGTATTTGTGATAGGGTTGTTGTAACTTTTGCTCTCGCTAGTTACTTGTTTATTTTTTCAGTCAATTTGCTGTAAATGCTTCATAGGATGATATACATTAGTCACTAGCAAGATCAACTCTTCTTTATGTTTTGCCAAAATAATTTGTTTTAACCTTAAATCTGTCTTCTTTTTTAAAATCTTTGATCCACTCAAAGGCGCATGATGGTGTAACAATTTCACATTATTTTCTTATTTTATGCATTATTATTCGTCCCACTTTATGGATGTGAAACATGTCCATTAAGAATTGAAGATATTCGTAGGTACTAATATCCGATCATAGGTGTCTTGGTAGCATTGTTCATGTGTTTTGGGACCACGGAGTAACTATTGTCTGGGTTGGGAATAGGGTACTATGTAAGGAAGTGAAATCAATTGATGAAGTAGTAAATCTTCACAAGAAGTGGTTGAGATATGTGTTGTAGGTGCTCAACTACCATCTAATTTGATGGGCGATGTTGTATGGTGTAGGAGTAGCTTGAAAAGAAGGCTAGGGTTGACCAAACCATGAAGTCATTGACAATTGGATTAAGACATATTAATTTTTTTATATTTTTTTCATCATTAAAGAGATTATGTACAATTCCAGTTTAACCGTTAATACTACTATCGGTAAATAACTTTGACTCAGAAACATCTAAAAAAAGTGAAGGATCATGTATCACGTTTTTGTTTGATTAATTACCTATACTGTTACCATATTTAGTGTGTTTCCAGAAAGTTCTAAAAGTTCACGGTCGGTTGCAAATCTCTAAATACCCTCAATTTTCTGTACATTAACTAATCTTGGAGGAATGCTCTTACTCATATTTTGTGTCTTTTCTCTATTGTTAAAGTTGATGTGCAGTAGTTTATAGTTATAGCCTCCAAATGCCCTGGTACGGCCGAGAGTGGGGAGAGTTCACTCTCCCTCTCGAAATGCTATCACATAACCACGCGTATACAGCCTCTGCCAACTAAGTCCTACTCACTGCCTTCTCGTGGCGGGGGTGTTGCTTACGAAAATGAGAGGACGAAAATCGAATGTCCGGCGCTTTAACCGGATCCCAAACCAATGGTGCACATGAGCTCTAGTATCCTGAAGGGACAAATGGCGTATGAACCAATCGTTGGTCACCGGCTTCCATGGGACTGCATCTCCTTACGATGCTCCACTGCCTTATGGGTCAGACCTTTAGGTCAAAGGCTCCGAGTGTGACCCCCTAAGGAAACCACCTGCTTCGGTTTGGGCACCCGGGCTGTATCACAGCCCTCACACATATCAAATGAGATCTGTGTGGCGCATATGTATTTGGTGCCTCCTTGTACCAATATCTATGTGTTAAAATAAATAAATAAATTATCGTTATAGGAAGCGGTTAGGAAGGTAGTAATTAACCTTACAGTAGCAGACTTATCATAATGTGATGTGTTATCGATGATACTTTTATCATCTGTCCTGATAACAAAAAATCATATCAAACAAGCTTCTTAACTGTTTGAATTTATATCAGTGGTTATTTGCAACGTTTTAAATGCTCAGTAACTTTATATTTATGTCCAGAGATTTTGGACATTTCGCCCTTCATTTATTTGTTGAGTTCTTGTATATTAAAGTATAATTTCTACTAAAGAATTCATGGTAAGCCTTAAAGTTCACTATGTTTATGTTTTTCATCCAAAATCTTAATTTGTGCTACATTGATATGTATATATTACTACCATTGATGTAACTGGTTCTATGAATTTGGTGTTCATCTTGTTGCACTAATAAACTATGCCAACTTCAGTCAGTCAGCTACAACGTAGGACCAGGCACATATATGCATCGGTCCAAGTTGTTATACCGCGTTAGCACAGCGAGATGAACACCGGATTCATAGTACTTAAGTCAATTGTTACTTACTTACGCCTGTTACTCCTAATGGATCATAGGCCACCGACTAGCATTCCCCAACCCACTCTGTCCTGGGCCTTCTCTTCTAGTTCCATCCAATTCTTGTTCATTTTTCTCATGTCTATCTCCATTTCTCGGCGTAATGTGTTCTTTGGTCTTCCACTTTTCCTTTGGCCTTGAGGATTCTATGTGAGGGCTTGTCTTGTGACGCAATTGGGTGCTTTCCTCAATGTGTTCCCTATAGCCGCCGCCTTTTCCAGCTCCTTTGCTTTCGTTGCCCACCACTGCTCACGGTCGTTCCTTAAACTTTTGCTTAACCTAGATCTGATTTGTTTACGCTCTTCATCATGTTCAGAGCCTGATGGAATGAGTTTACAAGAATCCATCAGTGCAATAGATTTTGAAGAAATCCATTGGTTCTTTGTAACCCTGTGGTTTAAATCACTAATAGATGTCACTGCTGTTTTCACAGCTGATTGTATATCTTTCCAATCAACATCGGGGTCAGCCTAGTTTTCAGAACTACCTAAGTGTGACCTCAGTTGTTCCTGGAACCTACTTTCGGTTTTCTCATTACTCAATTCAGTTCTAATGGGTCATTTTTGTATGGCTTTTTTACGTACAGTGAGGTGCAAGCAGATGCGTGCCCGTATTAGGGCATGGTCGGAGTCCAAACAGGTACTCCAGAATGAGCGACGATCTTCTCTTGACCCTCTCCAACGATGACTGATGGCAATATGGTCTATTTGAGTCCATCGTTGGTTTGGTGCAGGGGGTCGCCATGTTAGACGATGTCTCTCCTTATGCTTAAAATTTGTGTTTGCTAAAAATAAACGATTATTTGAGCACAGTTGTAGCAGACAATCACCATTATCTGTTCGCTGTGCCGGAATACTAAAATACCCACCTAAATACCTTTCTGTTTGGTTTAAGCTACTTATCTGGGCATTAAAGTCACCTCCTACGAGTACTATAGCAACTTGAACCGATGCATATATATATACCTGTTCCTACATTGTAAATGATTAACTGACTAAGTGGATAGTTGAGGATATTTTAAGAATTAGTGAAAAATAAACTAATATACAGAATTCATCAATTAAATGAATTAATAAATGGTCTAACCTATAACCTTTATTATTTATTATTTATTTTAACACAAGTATAGGTACAGGGAGGCACCAAATACATATGCGCCACACAAATCTCAATTGATTTGTGTGAGGGCTGTGATACTGCTCGGGTGCCCAAACCGAAGCAGGTAGTTTTCTTAGGGGGGCACACCCCGGACCTTTGACCTGAACGTCTGATCCACAAGGCAGTGGAGCATCGTGAGGAGATGCAGTCCCATGGTAGCCGGTGACCAACGATTGGTTCATACGCCATTTGTTCCTTCAGGATACTGGAGCCAATGTGCACCATTGGTTTGGGATCCGGTTAACGCGCCGGACATTCGCTTTTCGTCCTCTCATTCTCGTAAACAACATCCGTGGTGCGAGAAGGCAGTGAGTAGGACTTCCCTGGCAGAGGCTATATACGCATGGCCATGTGAGAGCATTTCGAGAGGGAGAGCGGACTCTCCCCACTCTCGGCCGTACCAGGGCATTTGGGGGCCTATAACCTTTATAAGAAGATCACTTATTAAAGATTGTAAATGTTATAAAACATAAATTTATTTATTTATATACATATCAAATAGTTTGAATTTGTTCCGTTTTCCCAATTGTTCATTCTTATTTCTTTCTTTCTTTTTTTCTTTTTTTTTAAAAAAAAATTGTTTCTATAATGTTTTAGGGTAGATTAATTGATATTGTGAAAAAGAAATCAACTAATTTACGTCGAGTTACATATCTTGTATTTGATGAAGCTGATAAAATGTTCAATTTAGGGTTTGGTAAATTTATTTTCTAAGTGTATGTATATCATATATATGTGTGTGTGTGTGTGTGTGCTTGTATGTGTACGTCTATTGTAATTGATCTGTTCATATATCCGTATTTTTGTTCTTACTTAGTTTGTATTTTCAATGTTTTATTTCTGTTTTCTTTTGATTCATTCAACCTATTTCAGCTTGTGAACTTGTAAAGTGTGTAATCATTAAAAATAGAAAATTTTTATAGGTTATACTGTTATGTTATTCGATACCAGGATACTAGGCATATATCACACGATAAGATTGTGCAAGTTTACCTACTGAGGTGATTGAGACATACATTATGCATTGCCAAATACCAATTACCTCTACGTGTAATTTTGATTTTTAAAAAAAAACAACAACTGAGAGATCAGGCATTGATCTATAAAGTCAGTGATTATTTGACTGAATCATGTTGGTAGACTCAAATTAGTTAGTTGAAGTCCATGCAATCATTGTAACCAATGATTGACGATGTTGAGTAATATGGCTTATAATTAGTCGTAATGATACAATTATTACACATATCATTGTTATTCCCTATTATCATGAATCAATTAGAATTGGAAATATCAACTATTTGATTTCTAACACTCGATAGTTTAAGTTCTAGTGCTATTGTAGTGATCAAGAACTTCAATGGGGGACAATCGAATATATTTAACAACAAATTACAGAGCATCTCAATAAAATCTGAAAATCATATATTATATCGTTAATTTGCAAACTGTTCATCAATTGTCTCAAATGATTCAGAATTCTTTTGTTCTTGCATTTTCATACAAATTGCATTCTTTCTTCATTCTTTATTGTTCGATCTTCTCGTCTCTCTGCTGCCAGACATTCTGTTCATGACTCACATCATATACTACTTATGTCTACATAAGTAGCACACGTCACAGTATCACCTAGTAAAATACTGAAGGTCTTGAGTATGTTGACGTTCACACCCATTATTAATGAATCTTAAAACAACTATCTGATTTTTCTCAACGACTTATTAACTCTATTTTGATAGATTATGATAAATTATTTTTATAAAAATTATACCGAATATTATTGTTTATTTATTTACTATTACTATTATTTAAATTTAGAACCTCAGGTTCGTTCAATTGCCAATCATGTAAGACCTGATCGACAAAGTAAGTCTAATGAATTTTTTTTTGTGATTGTATAATATTGATCACAGTAAATATTTTACTCTTTTTTCTGTTATTTAACCATATGCAAACCTTCATCGACTACCTGGTTAGGGTCCGCGTGACTATCGTAACCAATGGTTAGAGACTCTTGGTGACATGGCTCAGAATCGATCACACTGGCGTCGGTGTATTCACTCTCTGTCTTCCTTTAAACTAAGAGATTAAAATCACTTCAAATCTTTCTTTCTACGAACTAATTCTTTCTTCCTGTACTATCTCCTTATACACAATCTTTCTTCTATATATTACCACCACTGAATTAACTACTTCTATGAATCCGGTGTTCATCTTGTTGTGCTAATGCGGTATGGCAACTTGGACCGATGCATATACGTGCCTGATCCTACGTTGCAGCTGACTGACTGACTGACTTCATCGATATATGTGTTGTACATGAACTCAGTCACTGAATGGTATCCCAATATGCTGTAGAGTCTAACATGGGGAGATTAGAAATACGATTAGGGTTGGTCAAATCAAGATTATAATATGATATCACGTTATTGAATTGTAGACTGAACTTTATTCAGTGGGTTAAATTATCTGATTGGGTAAATTGAGATGATCTATGTATTTGTAGTTTTAAATTCTAAGTACCATTGTGGTGTGGGTTACTTATATTCACACAAGTACTATATGACAGTAGTCAGGCATAGAATGTATTTCAGTAGAAGGTCGATGAGGAAAGAGCAGGAACGAAACGCAACTGATATGAAAACGCATGAACAATGAAATCTGAAACAATGGATTGATGTTGGCACCAGGAACAGTCAAGTTTGATACGATGGATTGATATTCTGCAAATTAACGATTTAATATATGGTTCTCAGATTTTATTGAGATGCTCTGTAATTATGTGCTTAAATATATTCCATTATCCTCATTGGTGTTCTTGTTCACTACACTTTAGCTGGATGTCAGCAATTTTTGTAGTCAGATTCAAAGTTGTTCTAAAGTTCTAGGTGTTTCTTACAATCACAAGTCACTATTGTATATTGAAATGTAAAAAATATATAGAAAACAGTTTTTTTTTTGGGATTGTATTGTTCAACCAAATCAATATTATAGTCTGATTTATTTATCAGTTGCATGTTGTAATAAGACAAAGAAGCAAGTACTGAGTAAACCAGTAGTAAAAATGTTATATTATGTAGTGTTATGGATGTGCAGTTAACAAGAAGTACTGAAATTTATGTATGGAGTGAACTACACCTTGGAAATTTTCCCGTGTATCAGTTTATGACATGAACCTGTAGTATGAAAGATACGTGTATCATAAGACTGGATCTGTCCGTCTATCATCATTCCTCAATTAGGGTCCTAGAAGTTGTGGCTTAAAATGTTACCAAGCATAAGTCAGAATTAGAAACCAGTGGAAATTATGCTGTAATTTTCTGTTATATTATGAAAGTGAAAAGAAACTATGGAACTATGAGAAGTCCTACGTGGTGAGTCAGTCAGTCGTTCATAAGCAACTAACTTGTTTGGATCAATATGACTTCAAACCTATGAGTTCCATCCTTCACAAAAAATGATTTACAGATATATCCTGCTATTTATTCTTACCTGATGTGTTTTCCGATTGTCGCAAAGTTAAATATTTAAGAATAATGAAGTAGCGAATTTAAGATAACGTCAGTCAACAACCGAGCACAGTTTAGTGCGATAACCAAGCATAGATCCATGTGTTAGTTGGCTAGATGTATTTGACAAGAAACCAAGGACCTAGGTTTCGTGCTGTTCAACACTCATCAACAAGAGGTACTTTTAGTCCATAGGGAACTGATGCTTCCTGTACGATCCGATTCCATGTCTCACTGCTTCACGGTCAAAGACGTTTCCACTGAGTTATTCAGGCTACAACCCTGCTTCGGTTTGGGCACCCGGGCAGTATCACAGCCCTCACACAAATCAATTGCGATTCGTGTGGCGCATATGTATTTGGTGCCTCCTTGTACCAATACCTATGTGTTAAAATAAATAAATAAATAATACAACCGACTACATCTAAACAACTAGGATCAAAACATAGTACAAGCAGTGTCTGGTCACTAAGATTAATGGCTACATCACCACCTAATCAATAGAATCCGATCAACACTAAGGAATAGGCAAACATGAAATTGGTCGCTCATTTATTATGATCAGCCAATGCCTAAATTTCTACACTCAGCTTTCAGCCACACTCTAGGTATGACTGCTAATAGTGATACTACTACTACTACTGTCCAGCTTCTATAAATCAGTGGAACAGGACTAGAACTTGCAACTTTTAATGTTTGAAATGATGAATCCCACTCAATAGAAAATCACTATCCGATTTGATTATAAATATACCTTCCTGTCATTAATATAGTAGTATATCATTCACTATTCGATCTCTTAAAATGCTTATTCTTTAAGTAAATAGAATATACATAAATTCAAACCAATTTTTAGCTCTTCTCTTCAGTGCCACATTTAAACGTCGACTTGAACGATTGGCCAGAGATATTCTACTTGATCCTGTTCGTATTATACAAGGTGAATTAGGCGAGGTAAGTGTTAAAGTTTATGAATTTTGTAATCTTTCATATTTCTAATTTCTTTTGGATTAAAATTTTACTGAATGAATTAAACAATCATTATATATGTATATGCATGTGTGTGTGTGTGTTAGGTGATAGGATTTCGTTTCAGTTCCATGCTCACATATACTCATCTTAGCAGAAGTACACATTTTACATCTACCATTCATACATGAATCAATGTACTTTTTCTGGAAATTATCATGTAAATTTGATTTCGTTTATCTTAATGTTACTCAATTGTGTAGTTACATTGTTGATCAACTTGAATAAATGATGTACATTTTTATTCCCACGTATTTAAATCCGAATCTCCAGGCATCTTAGTAACTAATGATACACAGCACAAGAGACTTGCAGCCCTAAAATAAAAAGAAATTCCAAAGACAAATAGTTAGCATATGTATTATGTAGTTGCAAACCTGTTATGATTTTGTTCTTCAGAACCAGTTATACTTACGCATGTTGCTCTTCGTGGAGAAGCTCTTCTAGAGTTACTGCCGGTCCCGTGCCCGAGTGAAGGAGGAGGGTTGGGTATGGGATCAGCAACCCCTATCCCTTGCTAAAAAAACACTAAATAGGATAAACCATTTAAACTCTGTCCTTCTAGTTGAAGGATCTACATTTAAAAGAATTATGATGCTTTATGGTGAAAACCGAGATTCTACGGAAGAACCAGTTCTAGAGATTGGAAATTCATTACACAAATCATCAAAGTTACAATCATCAGTCTTCTCATAAAACAAAGGTTAAAACTTAGGGATAAAAGTTATATCATAATTTCAATGTAAAGAAATAAACTGATCATGTATAGAGATTTCATGTAGTAAATACATCAAAATTAATATTAAACGAATTAATATCTTCTTCTACCGACGAACCTCATCAACGAGATGATAAATGAATCTGTTTTAAAAATTTTCATCTTTTACAAACGAACTAATCTCATCCTTCAATATTTAGTTTTCTTTACTGTCATCACTATCGAAATTCTTTCAGATTATAACGACATAGGGTTTGTGTTTTGAGGGAAAAGAACGGCCAGCAATTATTTCTGTTTGAACATGTAAATCAGGTTTCTAAGGCCTAGTGTCAAAGGCTTCAAGAAACTTGAGATTGACCGTTTTCTAATCACCTTCAAAAATTCAAAGTTACTTACTTACTTACGCCTGTTACTCCTAATGGAGTATAGGCCGCCGACCAGCATTCTCCAACCCACTCTGTTCTGGGCCTTCTTTTCTAGTTCCATCCAATTCTTGTTCATTTTTCCCATGTCTATCTCCATTTCTCGGCGTAATGTGTCTTCCTCTCCTCCTTTGACCTTGAGGATTCTATATGAGGGTTTGTCTTGTAACGCAATTGGGTGCTTTCCTCAATATGTGTCCTATCCACTTCCAGCGCTTCTTCCTGGTTTCTTCCTCCACTGGGATCTGATTTGTTCTCTCCCACAGTAGGTTGTTGCTAATAGTGTCTGGCCAGAGGATCTGAAGTATTTTGCATAGACAACTGTTAATAAACACCTGTATGTACTGGATGATGGATTTCGTAGTTTTCCAGGTTTCCGCCTCATACAGTAGAACTGTCTTGACATTTGTATTGAAAATTATGACTTTGGTGTTGGTTGCCAACTGTTTTGAGTTCCAGATATTCTTCAGTAGTAAATATGCTACTCCATGCCTTCGCATCTGCATCAGATCCACCGTGTTCATCGATGATACTGCCCAAATATGTAAAGGTTTTTACATCTTCCAAAGCTTCTCCGTCAATTGTGATTGGATTGGTGCATGCTGTGTTGTATCGGAGAATCTTGCTTTTTCCTTTGTGTATATTGAGACCTATTGCTGCTGAGACTGCAGGTACACTGGTTGTCTTCTCCTGCATTTGTTGTTGCGTATGCGATAGAAGAGCCAGATCATCCAACTGCATCCTAGATGTCCACTGTATCCCGTGCTTCCCTTCAGAAAAATTCAAAGTATCTATCTGATTTCCTGTGTCCAAGAGATATCTATAGGTTATTGAACTATTAAAAATTTTCTCTTTTTTTACTGAAGACCTTCTGAAGTATGGTCAAAAACTTAAAATAGGCCATCACTCATGCTCAACTAGTGTAATCGTTTGGGCTGGTACACATACACCTATTGTCATTAATTGGAATGTCCAAAAACTGTAGACATGAATACTGTTCAATGCGTATTTGTTATTTTAGGCTAATGAAGACATAACTCAACATGTTGAGATTTTCGATAAAATCGAACAGAAATGGGATTGGTTAACACGCAATTTAGTCAGATTAACCACTGGTAAGTAATCATTTTTAAAGTGTGAGAAAAGTTTTGTTGTTAAGTTGTTTTCTGTTTTCTTAAGGTTTGTTGTAATAACAGTATTAATTATTTATGTTTTGTTGATGAAGTGGTTGTGAGGAATGTGTGATGCATGGTTACTGTTTGAGCACCATCAACAAGCAATAGTGTCCTGTTTAAAAGGTTGGAAATAGAGACCGACGGCGGCCGACGACTATGACATTACATCAGCCGACACAATTGGTTTCATTTATCTCGTGAGGTGTATATCTTCACTCCTGGTTAGCATCAGCGCGATTATCGTAATCTATAGTTCAATTTCCAATGTAATACAATTCAAAATCACATAGACTAAAACGTATTTACCTTACTTTTTGATCTTGCTTCAGTATTATCAAAGTCAAATGTTAATACATTTTAGAGTGATTCAGAGTTCAATAATTTATATACTTGGTACTATTTTTTCCCTCTGAAACCTACATCTTATCATTGTGTTACCTATAATCTTACCAAATTTGATTTTGATTTCGCTTTTTCTCTCTAGAGGGAAGTGTACTTATTTTTGTGACACGTAAAGTTCACAGTGAAGAGGTTGCACAAAAGTTGAAGTCACGTGACTTAAAGGTTCTTCTCATCCATGGAGATATGCATCAATCCGACCGTAATACTGTGATACAAGCATTCAAACGGCAAGAAGCTCCTATCTTAGTGGCTACCGATGTTGCATGTAAGTCCCCAACTAGGTATACAAACAAAAAATAAACAGTACATTTCTATTTATAGCGACGACAATGGGATGGCGACAAACAGTCATAAAAATCTAAATCTTAAGCAGTTTTTTTCCTGAAAATAAATAAAAAGTTAGTATAAGGATATGGAATAGCAGATTTTATGCTTTGATTATCTTTAGATATTAGCTTGCAGTAGAATCCAGAATGTCCATTTAATCGTACTTAGCATTCTCTAACTGTATTTATATGCGTCCCAGTGTAAGTGTTCATGCTAAGACTTTAAACTCAACGCATCTATAGTTTCAAGTGTCATTGTATTATCCACAAGGCTACCAAAGTTCAAATAGTTATATCGTCTTATGGCCTCTGACTAATGTCACGTGACAAGACCACCAATCGAAATCCCCATCGACATAACGTAGTATCTCTGAGTTGACCAATTACACATCTAACCAGCACTAGTAACTTTGATCCAACTGCCAAGCCCTTATTGGTTCCCGATTCTGTAGCTCCTTTCTCTCCCTACTTTTCCCGTTGAATCCAAAACACAGTAATCAACCCCCACTATATGAATATTATATTTCAAACATACATAGTTTATGTGCAAACATACCCGACCACATCAATTAATTATTTATTTTAACACATAGATATTGGGAGAACGAGGCACCAAATAAATATGCGCCACACAGATCTCATTTGATATGTGTGAGGGCTGTGATACAGCCGGGTGCCCAAACCGAAGCAGGTGGTTTTCTTAGGGGGCCACACCCCGAGCCTTCGACCTAAAGGTCTGATCCATAAGACAGTGGAGCATCGTGAGGAGATGCAGTCCGATGGTAGCCGGTGACCAATAATTGGTTCATACACCATTTGTCCCCTCAGGATCGTTGAGCCCATGTGGAGGATTGGTTTGGACTCAAGGTTTATTAACTCTCCTAGGTGGATCCCTCATATCCACCAACCCAGTCAAAGCGCTGGACATTCGCTTTTCGTCCTCCCCATTTGGTAAACAACACCCCCGACGCAAGAAGGCGGTGAGTAGAACTTCCCTGTCAGTGGTTGTATGCACGTGGCCATGTGAGAGCATTTCGACAGGGAGAGCGGACTCTCCCCACTCTCGGATGTACTAGAGCATTTACGGGCAAAATGATGATAATATTTAATTAAATAATACAATAAAATTACCCTCTTATTTTACCATGGATAATATTAACAAGTTGTTACTTTAAACTCCACTTAATCTTTTCCTAATAGCACGTGGTTTGGATATACCTAGTATACATAATGTAATCAATTATGAAGTTGCACGAGATATTGACACACATACTCATCGAATTGGTAGAACTGGTCGTGCAGGGGCAAAAGGAACAGCTTATACATTATTTGTTGCTGGAAAAGATCCAGTTGATTTTGCAGCGTGTTTAGTTCAGCATTTGGAATCCGGTTCACAAACAGTTCCACAAAGACTTCTTGACATCGCTCTAAAGTGTACTTGGTTCGCAAATAATCGATCTTCGCTTAACAGTGGAAACAACGGTTGTATTAGACCAAGTGGTGGATTTGAACCTCGACAACCTCGTGCCAGACCAGGATTAGGTTTATCATCCGATAGCAGTGAATCAAATTATTATCCACGTAGTGGTCCGGCAGCTGCAGCAGCGGCAGGTGAAGGAGCTGAATTAATTCGTCCAGGTGGTAAGTTAAACTTTCAGTATTCTGTAATCAGCAATTTTAGTCATTTTCTCATTCATTTAATAGGTGAATATTGCATATTGCAGTGTATTTTTCACTAAATATTTCATTTCAAGTCCCTGGAAATATTCGCTATGAACATGTCATGTGAAAAGTGTAAATACCAGTGAAAGTAAGGATTTGAAATGAAATCTATGCTAATAATCACACCGTAATATGCAGCATTCACTCACCACTGAATGAACCGATTAATGACCAAAACTGTTGAATACAACAGACCTATTGAGCATTTGAAACGCTTAGGACAAACTCAACCATCTATTCAGTTATAACATGTTGTGTGGTGTCTGAATCTGATATTGAAAAGCAATCTCTCTACACATAAGCCCATCGAGTGAAAAGGCTAAGATCGTTAAAGGAAATGTTTTGGCTACATTGAATTGGCATGTATAGTATACTCATTTTTATGTATATCCAGGGATTAAGCTACCAATGATATATGATTTTGTCTTAGGAAATGTAAGTCATCTGTTGGTCATCATCATTTGGCCGATTTTTGATTGACCCAATCTGTCAATCTACACGCATGTATTTATGCTGCTTCGGTGTTAGTGTCATTGTACGTGATTTTATTTTGTTAGTAAGAATAATTGTATGAGACTAATAAAATGATACCAAGTTGCTACACACATGACGGCGAAATGTCCGTCTTACCTATTATTATAGGTTACACAGCAGTTCAACTCATTTCACTTTTAAACATAATTTCAGAAAATAGAAGGCATTCGTACGCTCCTAATACTCGTCAACCATTACTTACGCCTGTTACTCCTAATGGAGCATAGGTCACCGACCAGTATTCTCCAACCCACTCTGTCCTGGGCCTTCTTTCCTAGTTCCATCCATTTCTTGTTCATTTTTCTCATGTCTATCTCTATTTTTCGGCGTAATGTGTTCTTTGGTCTTCCACTTTTCCTTTGGCCTTGAGGATTCTATGTGAGGGTTTGTCTTGTGACGCAATTGGGTGCTTTCCTCAATATGTGTCCTATCCACTTCCAGCGCTTCTTTCTGATTTCTTCCTCCACTGGGATTTAGTTTGTTCTCTCCCATAGTAGGTTGTTGCTAATAGTGTCCGGTCAACGGATCTGAAGTATTTTGCGTAGACAACTGTTAAACTCGTCAACCATAGATATGTTTAAAGTACTACTTGTTTATGGTGGAACAGCTTAGTGAACATTATTCAATTTAAAAATATGGTACAAGGTGAAAATTACAAGTCGATCAACGTCTCCAAATCATTGTTTGTCTTGCTCCAGAATAGTGAGCGCCAATATTAATTATCTCATACTTTTTATATCTGTATTTAATTGCCTTCCCTTCAAATCAACATGCTCTCCGGTGTCTTACTACTTCCGCTTTTACCTTATTTACTGTTTACCTTTCTGATTTCATCTCACTGTGATTAGTTTTGTATATATATGGAAAATTGGACCTATGGACATTGTGCTAGATTTTATGTCCATTATGAATGGCCGACTGACTTGGAAGACGATCTTTGGAAAAAACTCAACTGACAAAATTGAACTTGAAGTCTGTATCTTAGTTCAATCAAAATTAAGATTTAAGTTTACTCGTTTTCTTTTTACTGACAAGTTATTGTGAAATTGAAAAAAAAACAGTTATTATCAATTTCATTCACCATAGGTTTACAAGCAGATCGATTTTCTGCCATGAAAGCAGCGTTTTCAGCTCAATATAATCGAAGATTTGTATCGGCTGGTGTTGAAGCTAGTAGATATACACATCCAGAAATGTTGAAATCATCAAATACAACTGATAGACCTCAACTTGCAGACAGTTTTATTGTTCAAAGTAGTAACTCAGAAGAATCCCAATGTCCGCAACAACTTCGATCATCTCTAGTTACACCACAAAATGTACAAACGGATCCTAAGCAAAAACGTTCGAGATGGGATTAAATGATATTTGTGTAAAGACGTTTTCCAATTCTAAACGCATTTTTTTCATTGTTACTTCACAGCTTGTAACTTTCATACATACGTATATGTACACACACAACGCAATAAAAGTTTTAATCATTTGATCTAATCGATAATTGGTTGTAAACAGGGGGAGGTTATTATTAATTAGAAACGAGTTAAACAAACCTATCTACCGTAGATTGGCTACAATTCGCATCTGTTAACCAGTTGGCTATCAATGAGAAACTCACTTCTCTACCTTCCTATTTCGGTTTGAACTGTTTGATACTTTGATCATAACAATATGTGCACGGCTCAAAATGGAGTACTTAAAACTTGTATTTACTAAATGAGATACATATTTCATTAAAGAATTAGTTGAATGTTTAAGATTGATGTTAGATGGTTAGAGTTAGTCGGTAGGAAACCACGTATGATCTAGATTTCATGCTAGTTGGTACACATCAGCAATCCATACCTGTAATCTCGAAAGAACTGATGCTCCCTGACGGGTTCGAACATGGTTCATCAGGCTTCACAATCTAAAATGTTTACGACGGATCTTATTCGAACCTCACCTGACCTTCTGTAAGCTGAATATTGACATTAATTAACCAATGAGTAGCGACCAATTTTATGATTGTCCATGCTCTAGTGGTAATTGCATTGAATTACTGTTATTCACTGAAGCCCCGGTACGGCTGAGAGTGGGGAGGGCCCGCCCTTTCTCTCGAACGGCCACGCATATACAACCTCTGCCAGGATAGTCCTACCCACCACCTTCTCGTGGCAGGGTGTTGTTTACGAAAATGAGAGTAAGAAAAGTGAATGTTTGGCTCTTTAACCGGATCGATGGACATGGTGAGTCCACCTAGGGGAGTTGGAAAACCCTGATTCCAAACCAATGCTTCACATGGGTTCAAGGATCCTGAGGGAACAAATGGTGTATAAACCAATTATTGGTCACCGGCTACCATCGGACTGCATCTCCTGACGTTGCTCCACTGCCTTGTGGATCAGATCTTTAGGTCGAAGGCTCCGGGTGTGGCCCCCTAAGAAAACTACCTGCTTCGGTCTGGGCACCCGAGCAGTATCACAGCCCACACACAAATAAAATGAATAAAAAAACTGAACAAACTTTGAATTCGTTTTTAAAAAAATTATAATTAGTAACAATCAAGTAGTATACAGGTTCTGTTTGAATGTTGGTGTCAGGAGTAATTTAATCACAGTAAAAAAATCGTTTCACATTTTCACATCAAAGAAAAAAAAACGACATCAGTTGTTAATCTTGGAATTTGGCTCCAATTTCGAATTAACAACATCATAAGAGAAGAAAATTCCTTGTTCTTTTATCTTTGTGTAAAAATGTAATAAGGCTAGTATGTGTGTGTGCGTGTGTGTGTATGTGATGAACTCAGTAAGTGTTCCTTTCTGATCTTATTGAGTTCTTATTATTGGATAGATATTTAACGTCATCCACCAGTTGAACAAAATCGTGAAGTTGGCCTGTAAGTTTTCCCAGTATCACCCATTAGAGGATTGTAATCTGTTACATTTGAAAAATAAAAAGTGATGCGTAACTTATTGTTAATGATGTTGGTACTTCTGTTGTTTTTTTTTTGTTGTTGTTCAAAAAGCAAACAAACATTTGTATGATTTTAACACAGTTCGTAAGTGAACTTATAAAATAGTGCGTTAATTAATAAAAGGGAAACTCATATTGTAATTATGTTGTCATTTGTAATTAATTTGACAATCGGATAAGAGTTCCAAAATAGTCAAGATTTTGGAAATAAATTCACTCTTTTAAAGTTAGTCAGTCAGTCAGTCAGCTGCAACATAGGACCAAGCACATACGTGCATCGGTCCAAGTTGCCATACCGCATTAGCACAACAAGATGAACACCGGATTCATAGGAGTAGTTAATTCAGTGGTGGTAATATATAGAAGAAAGATTGTGTATAAGGAGATAGTACAGGAAGATAGAATTAGTTCGTAGAAAGAAAGATTTGAAGTGATTTTAATCTCTTAGTTTAAAGGAAGACAGAGTGTATACACCGACATCATTGTGATGGATTCTGAGCTATGTCACCAAGAGTCTCCAACCATTGGTTACGATAGTCACGCGGACCCCAACCAGGTAGTCTGCATCTACCAACATTGCTCAGACCAGAAGTTAGTGACTTCAAGCACTGATGCCACGTTTAGGTTTGGCCGCACCTA